GTAAGGTACTTAATTAACATTGTCCCTGGAAAGCACTTAAAAATTAGCTATTATGTGAGTGGTGACTGCAAGTCCAAGGGAAAGCCATGTGGGATATCCAAATTTCAATAAGTTTACCATGTTAAATATCTTAGAAATAGCAAAAAAGAATGCAAGGTCATATCAAGTTCAAGTCTTTGCTAGTTAGAAAATACATTTACCCACCTATGAAGGATGCTTGACTAAAAAACAAAAAAACAACAACAACAAAAACCTAATCAAGCCTGCTAGAAATATAGGGGATTAAAAAAAAAAATTTTAAAGACATCATACCACCTAGACTCGATCAACCAAATCCAGAATATGGGAAATTATAGAACACAACCCAGTTTCTTCAACAAATCAATGGCACAGGGGGATGGAAGATTGCAATAGATGAAAAGACTTTGGAGACCAAATGCAATACAGTATATGGCCTCATTATGATTCTGATTGGACAAATTGTAAAAAGACCTTTTTTAGGCAAGTGGAGAAAGAAGAGGTGAATAAGAGGAGTATTAGATGACATCTAGTAATTCTTAATTCTAGACAAACTACTGGCACTAAGATTCCTTTTAAAAGTTTTAATATGTTAGAGATACATACTCTATTATTTGCAGGTGAAAATAGATAAATGAAAATATATTTTTGGATCCCTGAGAGTTCGAGGATCTTTAGAATTAGAGAGGAAATGAATTAGGAACCAAAAGATGCAAATCTAATCAAGGAATGGATAGACTCTTGCTGCCCCCAAATGAGCACTGTGTGATCCCAAGATGAGCACCCATCAATCCTCAAAGGCCTCTACGTAGAATTTTCCAAAAGGGACTTAGTAGGGCAGTAGTGGTGGTAAACCCTGCATGTCTGCAACTATAAAACTCAGGTCCTACCAAAATCTCTGCTGTTACCTCAATTAATTGGGGCAGCATCTCCCTCCCTCAGCAGATCAGCTCTGGTTACTGGGATGGTGACAGTCTTCCCCAGGGCTTCATATCTTCCCACTTCAGGAAAATAACTAATAGGCAAGGTTTAGGAGAATCAAAACCATAGTTTCTGTAGTAAGAAGAAATCTGGATACATTAGATATTTTCTGTACTACAAATGTGTGCAAGAATTTGGCTTGAGATACTCCCTTATGAGAACAATTTAAAGTGTATGGTTGAGTAATTGATATAGACTCCTGATTTTAAATTGAAAGCTTATGAAGCCTAAGCAGAGTTTCAGAACATCTAAAAAAACTCAAAGTTTACCAAATTTAGCCCTGGCTTGTGTGGCTCAGTTGGTTGGGGATCATCCTATACACCAAAAGGTTGTGGGTTCAATTCCCAGTCAGGGCACATGCCCAGGCTGTGAGTTCGATCCCCAATAAGGGGTGTGCAGGAGGCAACCAATTGATGTTCTGCTCTCACAACAATGTTTCTCTTTCTCCCTCTCTCTAAAAATCAATAAAATTACTTTTAAAAAAATAATAAAGTTTACCTAATTTGTGAGTATAATTGGGACTTTATAAAAATTAATACTTGAAAAAGATTGATGTATTATCAGGTGGTAACTGAAGTACCTGAAAAGGAAAGAAAATGTATTTAATATATAACTTTATATGAAATGTATAAATTCCAGCAGAGGTCAGCAAACATTTTCTTAACGGGTCAGGTAGTAAATATGTTAAGCTTTGTGGGCCAGAGGCTCTCTGTCACAACTATTCAGTTGTGCCATTTATTGGGAAAGCAGCCATTCTATATAATAAAAGCCTAATATGCTAAGTGTCCAGTCATCTGGTCGACCATTCAACCAATCAAAGCGTAATATGCTAATGATATGCTACGGCAGCTCAACTGCTTATTATGACGTGCACTGACCAACAGGGGGCAGACAGTTGACCAGTGGACCAGTCGCTATGATGTGCACTGACCACCAGGGGGCAGACACTCTGACAGGTAGGTGAGCTTGCTTCTGGGGTTTGGCCAATTGGGACTGAGTGAGATGGGCCGGATACGCCCTGGAGCCCTCCCGTGGTCCCTCCCCTGCTGGCCAACCTCCTGCGTCCCTCCCCGGCCCCAATCATGCACCGGTGGGGTCCCTCAGACTGGCTTGCGCCCTCTCGCAATCCAGGCTGAAGGACTCCCCACTCGAGTGCACGAATTTCATGCACTGGGGCTCTAGTAGATAATAAACATATAAATGAATGGACATGGCTGATTTCTAATAAAAAGTTATTTATAAAAACAAGTAGCAAGCCCTAGGCTATAGTTTGCCAACCCCAAAGGGCCTTCTATTAAACTGGGAAGCCTTTATAAATTGAAACAAACAGTATTCAAGATCCCTTGAAATTATTGCTAAAATTTATAAACTTAAAATTTTAAGCAGAACTTGAACATTTAAGGACATTGTTCTTCAATTAAAACATTTATTATTACATAGCCAACTAGTTTTGCTGTTAAAATTTTATTTTTTATTGTTAAAATTTTATAGGCATTATAGTGGTGTTGTGGTTATATGTTTCTTAAAGAGTCCATACTTTTTTAGAAGTACATACTAAAATATTTGCAGGGGAAAAGGTATGATGCCTAGGATTTGCTTCAAATACGGGAGGGAGTTCATGGGTGGAGGTATGGTTGAAACAAGGTTGACCCTAAATTAGTAATGTTGAAGCTAAGTAATGTGTGCATGGGGGTTCATACATTATTTGGAACTTTTTGTTAGGTATGTTTAAATGTTCCATAATACAGAAATTTTAGACTAAAAATTTTAAAGTTTTTTAAAGCATAACAATAAATAGGAACAAACTACTGATACAACAACATGAATGAATCTCAAAATCTGTATAATCTGGACCAAAAAAAAAAAAGCCAGACACAAAAGAGTGCTTACTGTATGAATCTATTTCTATAAAATTCTAGAAAATGCAAATAAAAATGTAGTGACAGGAAGCAGATCAGTGGTTTCCTGGCTCCGGGAGCAGAGGCAGGGAGCCGCTCTTTGAGGTGATGGAAATGTTTGTTATCTTGATTGTAGTGGTTGTGGTTTCATGGCTGTGCAACTACCTGGTTTTTTTAAAAGCTTAAAAACACACTAAGGTTTTGAATTTGTTGTTTTAATAAACGGAACACCAATCTTTTAAACCAGGGATCTGGAAAGGCTGACATAGTAAATATTTTAGACTTAGCAGGACATAAGGTCTCTGTGGCAACTACACTGATATTTGAATTTCATACAGTTTTCACATGTCTCAAAATATTATTCTCTTGCTCCATTTTTTCCGACATTTATAAATGTAAAAACGATTTTTAAGTCATGGGCCATACAATTTGGAGTGGGCAGATTTGACCCAGGCCATAGTTTGCTGGACTCCTGCAAACTTTTTGCCATTAGACAAAACTAAAAGTAAACTTTTGAATAGTCTTTTCTATATAGGAAAAACCATTCAGAAGGCACAAAATAGCTCACTTTATTATTATTATTATTAGAGGCCTGGTGCACGAAATTTGTGCACCGGTAGGGTCACTAGGCCTGGCCGGTGATCAGGGCCGATCTGTGGGGCAATTAAAAGACCACCCTGGCACCTGCCTTGGACGGCCTGGTGCTGCCCACCTGGGAGCCCCATCCCCTGCTGCTGCTGTTCACCTCCCTCTGCGGGAGGCAACTGGCAGTGCGATCGGGGGTAGTGGGGAGCGACACCACCTGCTTGCTGCCTGGCCCCACCCCCTGATCACCCCGCCGCCCCAGCCCCCTGATTGCCCCGCTGCTGCCATGGGTTGCCTCCCTCTGTGGGGTGATCAGCAGGGCGATCAGGGGGCCCCCGCTGGCACCCACCTTTGGTGCCGCCCACACACCTGCTCCACCATCCAGCTGCGGCCCCGTTCTAGTCAGGGCCCATCAGGGCCGGCAGTGCCTCCACTGCCACCCACTGCCAGGGCCGCATTGCCAACACCCGCCATGGTCCGCACTGCCCCCTGGTGGTCAGCGCATGTCACAGCAAGCGGTCAGTGGCTGTGGCAGGGATTTCTTAGAATAAACCAAAAATGGTTTCAAATTATGACTTGGCTTTGTACATGGCTTGACCAAAGGAAGAGAATGCACTACTCAACCACTTTTAAGTATTTCTATTCTTTGTGGCAGAGATTACTCATCTAAATTGGTAAGCTGCTATTCTAGCATCTATCTCACTTTCTAGTGCATTCTAATTTAGCTTGTATCTCTCTCACAGATCTTTATTGAGGAAAGAGAGATAGAGATAGATAGAGAGAGAGAGGTTTATTGTTCCACTTATTTATTCATTCACTAGTTGTTTCTTATATGTGCTCTGACTGGGGATCGAAGCCACAACCTTGGCATATCAGAATGATGCTCTAACCAACTGAGCTACGGGGCCAGGACCCTGTCTCACAGATCTTGATTACCTCTAGACACTGACAAGAGTGAATATTTTCTCTGAAGCTGGAGGAAGAAAACCTGTAAGAAGGAAAAAGTGGGAAGGAGAGATTGTGCAGGAGAGATGTGTGACAAGGGCCTTTATTTTAGTAGCAAAGGAGTTGGATGAGAGATGGTGAGGTATAGTCTTGATCTCAGTAAAGTAGGCAGCCAGACTGGCCATGGTGAATGCAAAAGAGGTAGGCATGATTAGGGGCTGAAAACTATAGGAAAAGTCCTTTAAGTAATGTCATGGAGGACTCAATGTGAACAAAAAGAGATGGTGAGGTACAGTCTTGATCTCAGTAAAGTAGGCAGCCACATGGTGAATGCAAAAGAGGTAGGCATGACTAGGGGCTGAAAACTATAGGAAAAGGCCTTTAAGTAATGTCATGGAGGACTCAATGTGAACAAAAGGATTGCCAAGAGGCAGTTAGACACATGATAGTTAGGTGCTCAGTACTTGTTTGTTGGCAAAATAGCATCTACATAATTCCCATTTACTTTTGCAGGATACAGAAAAAAGAATAGGTAGTGAACACTTTTTTGGTTAATTAGTTTAATTTTTGCTTAATTAGCACCCTGTTTTCTGAATTTACAATGTGGTCATGTTAGTGCAATGAGACCTCACTCTCCTGGCACCGTCTGATTGGTTGGTCAGGGTAACTATGTGACTCAACTCAGCCAAGTTTTCAGGCTGTAGGTGCTCAGTCTTGGCTCTGAGGCAAGCCAGGCCACGAAAACTTCTCTTCCAGGAACTTTGGAACCAGAACTGAGAAAGAGAAGCTACACAGTGTCTCTTATTGTGTCTGGACTGCAAGATGTAATAGCCCAGGAGGTAGTGGAGGAGCAGAGGAAACCTGCCTGTGGAGGGAGAAGGGTGAAAGCCGATGTCAGTTGGAGAAGAGGGTCCCAGAAATTCTGGAACGCTAATTCTAGTTGTCCCTGGGGCCTCGTTCCTATGCTTGGATTCTGAGGAACGTCCCAATATCCTTATGATACATTCCCCATTTCAGTTGAACAGATTCAAGTTGACTTTCTGTCATTTACAACCAAGAGTCCCAAATAATACAGAATGAGAACATGAATGAATGAGTAAATGACACCATCTCCACCCTCAGAGGTCTGAATCCCAGTGTCTGGAGGTGTTCCAACTAGTTTCAGGGGTGAATGAGACTCTTAAACTGGTCTACCCAGAACATGTAAAAGCAAACTCCTTTCATCTTCAGAGGGAAAGAATCCTCACCCACCAACTGAGGCAACTGGAGAAACTGGTCTATCAACTCATTCCATCTTAAGGAACTTTCTGGTAACCCGTATGAAGTAAAAGAAAGAAAATGTGCCTTTGGAGACAGGAGATACCACAAGAAAATAAAAGAGCCTGAACCACTTCATCGGTATGATCTGCATTCCTTTTTACTTATTTATTTTTTTGAAGTGGGTGGTGAGGAGGGTAGAACTGTCTTAGGTTGGAAATGCCTTACTATGTAGACACAATCCCAAGTGATAGTTCTTTAGCCATAGCTAAACTAGCCTATTTGTGCCTAATCACAATTCACATACTCAAGAATCTATCTGAAATATGTAAGGATTTGAAATATTGTATAGAAATGAGCGTCAGCAACAACACCTGATAATGATGTTACCATTTAGAATCTTTAAAATCTTCAGGAGGTGCCCTGGCCGGCGAGCACAGTGGTTAGAGCGTTGGGTCCCACACCAAAGGGTCTCGGGTTTGAATCCCAGTCAAGGGCACGTATCTGGGTTGCAGGTTCAATCCCCACCCTGGTTGGGGTATGTACAAGAGGCAACCAATCAATGTGTGTCTCTCACATCAGTGTTTCTCTCTCTCTCCCACTCCCTCTCTCCCTTCCAATCTCTCTAAGAATCAATGGAAAAAATAACCTCAGGTAAGGATTAACCAAAAAATAAAATCTTCAGGAGGAAGCTCACTCCGGTTTGCTCTCCTCTAAGGAGGGTTGTGTGCTCAGGTTGAGGGCATTTTTTAAATGCTTTGGATCAAAGGGATTTTAACCAGGATTTTCAAAGGTTAAATGCAGTTTCTTGGGTAGCTTACTCTGAAACTAACACTTCTTCCCAAAATGCCCAGCTTTTGTTGTGATTGGAGTTCTTCCAGAAAGGGATATATGTTTTATGAGTTATGTTGATAATGAAAGAGATCAATGAAACAACATAAATCCTTTATTTTTAAAAATAATTGTTTAATAAGTAAATAGTTAAATCTTCTCTATTCAAGCTGCCTTTTTTTGACAGGAAAGTGACCATTTAAGAACTGATTTGATTTTAGTCTCCATTTAAAAACCCTTTTATCTGGTTGACTTTTGTCTTTCTGGCAGTTCTCCTAAGTGTGGCGCGGGAGTGGCTGGTTTATTTCCTCCCCCTTCATTCCCATCTGCACCTCTCTTCTCACTGCCTCCTCTCATTGCCAAAAAAAGCAAATGTGTGAATCTTCTCACCTGTAAACTTCCAGTTGCAGGTGGAAGTACCTAAGTTAAATTGATTTCACCTTTTGCCTACCTCTTTAGGAACACAGAGAGGAACTATCCTCTCCTAATTTTAAGCATGCAATACATGCTTGATACAGAAAACATTTTAAAAGCAGGAACGTATAAAGAAGATGGGCAATAATCACCCAATTTCCATTACCCAAAGATGAATACTGTTTTGGAGTATTTCTACACAAGCCTTTTCTTTCTTTCTTTTATGCTTGTTGGGTGTCTTAGTTTATATATTTTTTCATCATGGTTGTGATTGCTTTTCTTCCAAGTATAATAAATACACAAGCATCTCTCTGTTTTAATCCAAATCTCATAAACATGTTTTATATGTAAAGGGTGTCCCAAAATTCACGCAAGAAGTAATTTTGATAGAAAACATAGGTTTATAATTAAAAATTGTAATTTTTTATTGATTCATAAAGTATACAGTATAGGGTTACGTATGGAATAGCATATCGGGTAAATGGCCTCCACGGCTTCGCTGGCACATACACGCTCTTTCGTTGAAATTTTCCATGACCGTTTTGCATAAATGTGGCTGAATTTCGATGAGGCTCATTTTCATCTTGATGGCTTGGTTAACCGACAAAATTGTCCCATTTGGGGTTCAGAAAATCCACGAGTGATTGTTGAGAAACAAATGCATCCACAACGTGTCACTGTTTGGTGCAGATTTTGGGCTGGAGGCATCATCGGACCATTCTTCGAAAATGCGAAAATGCGGCTGCTCAGGCAATAACAAAAGAGTGCGTATGTGCCAGCAAATTCATGGAGGCCATTTACCTGATATGCTATTCCATATATAACCCTATACCGTATACTTTATGAATCAATAAAAAATGTACAATTTTTAATTATAAACCTGTGTTTTCTATCAAAATTACTTCTTGCGTGAATTTTGGGACACCCTTTATAATACTTCATCTAAGGGGTGGGATCATGATATACTTAACCATTTCTTATTTCTAGATATTTAAAAAACCTTACCTGTGTCATCTCAGCAATGTTATCCATGAGTTCGCCAAAGCACGAATGGCCAGGCAGGACTGTCAGCCACAAGATCTTCGATGGTCGCTTTGCTCACCCATCAGAAGCTAAGGGGGATGTCTGTAATGATGAACTGCCACTGTGCCAGAGCATGAGGATGAGGTGCCGGAAAGGGCAGCAAAGGAGGGCCAGAGGACACGTTCTAAAAAGACAAGTATAACTTCCAATAATAAAGGCAAAGCCCCACAAAACACTAGCTCAGGAAAGTCACTTACTATGTACCAGCAGTGCATACAGATATCTCAACAAACAATCCTGGCCCGAAGATGTAAGTGCAAAGATAATCTAGAAATGAACCAGGAGTTCAGCCAGCACTGGGGAGGTGGGGGTTAAGTGCCTGGGAGGGCTCCACAGAGCTGGAGCTGCTTACCTGTGTCTTGACAGATGAGGAGGACTTCGCTGGACAGACCAAGGAGAAAACAGAGGTAGGCAGAGGGAATAGCATGTGCAGGGTCTACAACAGCAAGGTGTGTTCAAGGACGCTCAACCCTGGGCACTGAAATGAGAGAGGATGGGGTGAGCTGGGAAGAATGGCCGGGGTAGGACCTGAATGCCGTGTGTTGTACGACAGAGAATTTGTCTGGTCCTTGTCCCTGGTTCTTCAGAGGGAAACACCAAATCTTTGGAATTTCCCGAGTGATTCTTTGTTACTTGTGGTGGGTCCCTGACCACACCTGAGTTTATGCTAACAATACGACTCAGGATGTGGACTCCCCACGGACCATGTGATTAGAAGGTTGGGGCTTTGAACCAGCTGACCGCTAGGCAGTGGCCGGGGGCTGGAGATGGAGTTCAATCATGCCCACATAATGAAACTCCCATAAAACTCGAGACACCAAGGCTCCGGTGAGCTTCCTGCTTGGTGAGTGCATGAGTGTGCGGGAGGGCGGTGCGTCCTGATTCTACAGGCAAAGTGCACAGAAGCCCGACATCCAGGACGCTCCCCGACCTCGCCCTATGTGTCTCTTCATGTGGCTGGTCCTCATGTGTAACCCTTTCTCATTAAACTATCGCCGTGAATATACCACTTTCCTGAGAGTTCTGTTTATCAAATGTTCTAGCAAAGGATCATACCTTAGGTAATTAAGGGGACCTCTGAATTTGTAGCCAGTTGGTCAGAAGTGTGGGTAGCCTGGGGATCTCTGAACTTGTGCCTGGCATCTGAACTGAGAGCAGTCTTATGAGGGACCGTTCCCTTACCCTATGAGTCTGTGCCAACTCCAGGTGATCTGCAGAGGAATCACATAGCAATTATTGCACCATTCTGAGGTGTTTGGATCTTATTTTGAAGGAGTTTAAATACAGGAATATCAACTATTAGAAAAATCACTCTGTGAAAGTATAAAGAATGGGTTAGACAGGAAGGAATATGAAGGAGGGGGGGTCATAGATTGCTGAAGATCAGGCAGAAACAATAAACTGGCCGACATACAGCATCAGGAGTGAAGACGAATTGCCATCATCTCTGAAAGAAATGTGTGAAGGGGCAGATCAAAGAGCAGCATCCCCATGGGTTGGTTCTGCCAGGGTGTGTCCAGCCTGTGGTGGAAGGAAGGCAGCAGTTTATTGGAAACATCACCTTCAATGATCCAAAAGCTAAAAGATTTATATCTTCTATAAAAAGGACTAACAAGATACATTTTCCTTTTGAGCCTGTGGGAAGAGTTTAAAGATGTTGAATAATACAGCATATTATTGTGTGCTCACCCGTCCCCAATTTAGCACAGAATTTTGGGACACCCTTGTAACATTTTCTTCTTTTTCCTTAATTTATTCTATTTGTGGTTATTTGTTTTTTATTATAAATCAATGGTTCTCATTGGGGGTTGGAGGAGTGGCAATTTTCCTCTCCAGGGGACATTTGGCAACGTGTGGAAATATCTTCGGTTGTCAAAACTGGGGAGTGGCACTGAAGCTAGTGGACAGAGGCCAGGGATGCTGCTAAGCATTCTACAATGTACAGGACAGCCCAAGAGAGAATCATTTGGCCCCAAATGTCAAGAGTGCTGAGCCTGAAAAACCTTGATTTAAAAGAAATAAATTATAGAAAAAATGGAAATCCCTGTGTACCCACTGAGAAAGGGAGAGGAGATTCAACTCTCCTCTCTTTACTCTCCTTTATTCACTGTGGTAGAAAATAAGATCAGGAAAAGCCTTTCCAGAAATAAGATTAGATACAGGGCTAGGCTTGTTTCAGCCCTGACCAAAACATAATGTAACAAACACTCCCTCCTTCATTCGGTCCCTTTAGACACGGCCTCCGGGAGTCCATCCTGCAAGATCTTCTACAGAATATAGTTTGAGTTTAACATCTGTTGGAATAGAGTCACCAAAGGTAGGCTTATTAAACAAAGATGACCTATTTCAAATCATAGTTTTATAAACAACTTATAAGAATTTTAGGTTAATTAACCCAAGAATTTGAGATACTGACATGATGCTTCAATGCAAGAAAAAAATTAACTAAAATAAGTGAAAGTTACCGAAACAGATGGAAAAAAAGCTTATTTTTTTATTTAAAAAAAGAACACTAATATTTTTCAACTACATGCTAAGTACTATCCTCTACACTGGTGATAAAATATCATCTCAGGTGAGGGAAACATCATTTAAGATGCCTTCAAGGATCTCATAATCCAGAATGAGAAGTGCACACATTAGCAGATAATGTTCATGAGATGATGTGGTGGGACCATGGAAGAGAAATTTTTTCAGTATAATTGCAGCAGCAATGAAATAAAAGACTCAACTGGTAATAGCAACACTCTTTTCATCACACCCGAACTATGGTTTATAACCATGCAATATGAGCTGAGAATGCCATTTAAATAGTCAAGTAAACTTGCCCTACCAGATTTACACTATATTGCTGTAATAGTCCACAGTAATTTGAAGGGTATGGAATTGGTTTAAAACAAGGTAGACATAATAGCACAGAATACGGAGTACAGAAACAGAACGTACTCCATCATATGCATGGCATTTCAATTCAGCGAAGAGATAATGATCTCAAAATAAATTTTAATTCAGAGGAAAAATGTTATTATAGCCCCAGTTCTCCTTAATACCAAATAAATTCTAGTTGGGTCAAAGATTAAATATTTTAAAAACACACGCAAAAACAAAAAAATATATAGGTATTTTTTACATCTTGGGGCAAATAAGATCTTTCTAAACATGACACCAAAGCTAGAAATTCTGAAAAGAAAATGTTGATAGATTTTACTAAATTAAGATTTTTTAAACTTCCAAACTATGAAAAAAAACCTGTCAAAAACAAATATAAAAAGTGAAGCAACAAAAAAATGTTTTAAAACTACGTCATCTGAATTAATACCTGAAAACATATAAAGATCTCTTATAAATAAGAAAAATATGACTCTCCCCCATAAAAATGGGAACATGAAATGAAAATGCAATTCACAAACCAAGATATGCAAATAATGTGGAAAGATATTGTTCTTTTTAATAGTCAAAGAAATGCAAATTTCATCACAATAAATGATAGTGAAAATTTAAAAGACTGAAAATTACAGTATGTGCAGAAGACATATATACACTGAGAGTGGGAAAATAACTGGGTAGAAACCTACTGGATGGGAATTTGGTAATATGTGTAAGAAAGTCAAAGGAGAAAATAATAAAGGCAGGTAGAGGGGGGAAGGAGACGATACAGGAAATACTTTTGAACTAACGCGTCCTTTTCTAGGAATTTACCTCAAATATGCCTCTGTTGTGTTTATAATAGTGTGTGAGTCTGCTATGGATGCCATAACTAAAAAACACAAACTGTGACTTAAACAACAGACATTTATTTCTTGGAGGCTAGAAGTCCAAGATCAAGGTGTTGGCAGGGCTAGTTTCTGGTGAGACCTCTTCCTGGCTTGCAGACAGCCAGGTCTTTTCCCTGTGTCCTCACATGGCCTTTGCTCTGGTGTCTCTCCTCTTCATATAAAGATGCCAATCATATTGGATTAAGACCTCACCCTTATGACCTCATTGAACCTTACAGTCACACTGAGGTCTTCAACATATGAATTCTGGAGGAACATAATTCAGTCCATAACAAACAGTGAAAATTAAAAACAACCTAAAGTTCTATACAGTAAAATGTTATGCAGCCTTAAACTGGAATTGGTTTAAGTAATGAAATCACCCTGGCCAGTGTGGCTTTAGTTGGTTGGGCGTTGTCCCGTGCATCAAAAGGTGGCTGGTTCGATTCCCAGTCAGGGCACATACCCAGGTTGCTGGCTTAATCCCCAGTAGTTGGTGAGGAGGCAACTATCAATACCTATCAATGTTTCTCTCTCCCTCTGCTTTCCTCTCTTTAAATCAATAAAAAACGTATTTTTTTAAAAAAAAGTGATGAAACCGATTTATTAATATGGAAAGCTGCTATGATATGACATGTTTCTTAAAGGTTTTAAAACAACAGGCTTAGTATGAACACACTTGTGGGAAAAATATATTATATGTATATTTGAAAAATAAAGTTTATGCATCCCAAAGTAAACAAGGTAACATCCAGGCAATGGAGTTGTGGAAAATATATGCATTTAACTTTATATTATAGTGCATAATATATAATGAATATTCTTACCTTTATAATAAAGGAGAAAGAAGTTATTTACAAAAGGACAGTTCAGTCCCAAATTTATTTCTTCCAGGATTATTTAAATAAAGTTCAATTTCTGATTACTAATTTTTTGCATAAATAATTGCAAATTATGAGCCAAATTGGCTCTACAGGGTGCACCAGCAAAGAGGCCACTGACATGAGGCAGATTATAAGCTTGAGTGCAAGTGATTCATTTGGAGGGAAATTATGAACCTAAATGAATATTAATTAACTAATAGAATTTATGGGTGTACTTAGTGGACACTTGGCAATCATTTTATTAATTTGATCATGTTAGCCTGTCAAACTAGATAATTTAAGCCAAAAGGCCCTATTAGACAAATACAAAATAATATACTGACGAATTTCAGAGACAATTCATTCTCTTTTTAGCAGCTCAGAATCTAGTGCTCAACTTCAACATCAACCACATGGAATTCTGGGGTAAATCCACTTTACAACTAGGAAGAAACCAACACAACAGTCTATGTTTGTTTAGCTCCTGATTGGTTTACCAACTAATCCAGTCCTCAGAGTGACAACTTTTTCCTTTTAGTGAAAAATCATCTCAGTTTGCTCCTTATTTTGAGTTAGATTTTGTATTTAAAAAATAAAAATTCAGCCCTGACAGGTAGCTCAGTTGATTAGAGCGTCGTCCCCATACACCAAGGTTGCGGGTTTGATCCCTGGCCAGGGCACATACAAGAAGCAACCAATGAATGCATAAATAAAAGTGTTTCTCTCTCTCTCTCTCTCTCTCTCTCTCTCTCTCACATCAATAAATAAAGTATTTAAAAATTAAAAAAATTTTTAAACCTAAATTCAAGTCAGATCCTTCAAATTTGAAGAGCTCAGCAATGAAATGTCACAGAGTGGTGACAGTCATTCAGACTAAGCAACACTCCCAGTCTGGTTTGCCATTCTGCATCATTAGTGATGCCTGTGTTGTAGGCAGAATTCCGTAACACAGCTTGATTTGCCTAAACTCGAGAAACACCTCTCTCCCTGTTAGATGGGAAGGTGGCATCAAGGGTGGAATTCATCTCCTGGTTTGTCACTATCTTCAGAAGTTTGGCTCACTGATTCATCAGAACAAGTGAAGGCATGATGTCTTCCAACCTCTCTTGAGCTGATCAGGCAGCTGATGGCAACCTTGCACGGTCCTTCAGCATATGGGTTGCATAATCTATGGAGGATTCTGCAGAATATGTTGATAATGACTTCCTCTGACATTCCAGTTAATTATCACTATTGATTCTTTAATACTTAAAAAATACATGATGCTTAATTTGTTCATGAATCAGTGGTTTAATAAATGCCAGTGTATATATTAAATTATGTTAATGTTTAATATCTTTTATGAGCAGTCAAGAGTACATTAAAAATTAAAATAAAATTAATTCCCACTTTCCCATTCTTACACTGTAGGTAATGTTATTTTACACTGTACAAATTGATGTTCGGTATTTGGAATTAATGAACTTTGTGATTTGTTTACTGCCTGGGGTGTTATTCATTACTTTTTCAATTACTGTAAAACTTTATACATCACAACATGAGACCCTAAGCAATCAGATAAACAGTGCTAGGGAGTTTTCCCTTTTAAATGGGATCATGTAATAAAGGCAGAAGACTAAATCAACATCTCTAATATGCCAGCCAGAGACACTGGGTTTCTCATCGGTGGGCTTGCGAAGAACCTTCCAGAAGTGAACCTTTCAGAACTAGGATGCTCAGGAAAACCTGGTCTCCTGCCCTTGAGCAACTGAAAAGTCACAGTTTTGTCACCCACAGCACTCAAAAGCAAGATTCCCTAGGACCCAGTGTAATAGCTAGAGGCAGCTGAGATTTTGAAAGTACTGCCATGTCGTATCAGCCTACAAACTTTCAGAACTGCCAGGCCCTAAATGTGTCCATGTGTTTGATTTCTTTTCATATTTCTTTTAGTAAGCACAGACAAGATTCCCAGCACTGCCCTGGGTTCTAAGGGCTGAGGGAACATACAGAGATGACACCGCCCCCCCCCCCCCAACCCCAGGGTTTTTTTGTTTGTTTGTTTGTTTCATCTCCTGGAAACCCTGTGTCATTGCCAGGAACGGCACCCCATGTAGAACATCGCCCCTGCTGGAAAACTCACAGGGCGGCAAGGAAAGGTTAGAGGGGGCCTCACTGAGCGGCTCCCACAACCACAGGAGAGGGAGAAGAGCAGTGAGGAGTGAGGAGAAGCCGTTGGCAAGGTGACAGAAGCAGCAAATGGGCTCAGTGGGAGTCCAGGTTGCACACCAGCGAGCCAGCTGGAGGAGGTAAACACACAACCAGGAGGGCCCAGGCTTCCTCCAGCAGCTCAGCCCACTCTGCCTGCTGACCCTCAATGTGCCAATAGGAGGGGGAGCTTTTCGCTTGGTACGAGGGATCACTATTCAATGGCAAGAATGAAGGCAGGAAGGAAAGACCTCTCACCTCCACAAAAAATAGACCTGATGACAAGTTGCTGCATTACTAATGCCCCAGAGGCTGGGGAGCCTGTTGGCTACTGGGGCTGGGACCAGGCCACACAAAACACCAGAAGGAAGCTGGTGGCAGCTGTGTAACTAATGAGCGTTTATTGGTCCTTTGCAAAGTTATACAAAATGCCCATCGCACAAGGAAACATCAAACTCTAATTGTAGGCATTTTATTTCTGTATCAAACATATAACAGAA